AGAAGGGTGTTGCTGGAAGGGGCCCCCTCGAGACCATTGAGTCCACCCCCTGCCAGGGAGGCCCCGTGGGGGGGATCGAACTCCCAACCTCTGGCTCTGCAGCGCTCAGTGTCTCCGATGGAGGGGGGATTTGCGGGGCCTGCAGCTTGACATGAAACGGCCGAGGGTTGCGGGGGGGGGGCTACGACTCATGGACTGGGGAGGCGGGGGGTCGGCTGTTCTCCCCCCCAGTGCTTCGCCCTCACATGGAGAGAGGCCGCTTTCAGCCCCTTCCTCCCACCTTCCTCTCTCCCCCCACCCACCCCGCAGGTCAATTTCCGCGGATCCAGAGGGAGCAAGAACTGCTGGGCGAAGCGGACGCCCGTCGAGAAACGCCTGGCGGGGCTGGCGGGGCTCCTGCTGGCCGGCCTCCTGGCCTGCATCGTGTTCCTGTTAGTCCAGTTCCAAAACAGTGAGTCTGGGGTCTCTGCGCGAAGCCCCTCGGTTCCTTCCCGGTGTCCCCCACCCCACCCCAGGGCCGTCTGCTCCCCGATGCCCTTGAACCCGAGCAGGCCTAGGAAAAGTCCCCCTGACCAGCCGCCCTTTGCTTTGTAGGTCAGGCCTTTGGTCTCTCTAGATCCGTGAAAAGTTTCTAGTCCTCATGGCTCTGGTTTGAACAGGGACATGCAAAGTCAAACTCCAGTTCCAGCATTTCAATGGAGGCTTTAAAAATTATTATTTTTTAATTCCTGGCCCCGAGAGGGCTGTGCTGGATGGGATCAGGGGCTTTCGGTGTGCAGAGCAACCCTCCCTGTCCCGTCCTGTCTCCCCTCACCCCCTTCCCCACTGCTGGGTCTTTTTTGATGTGTCTGTGTGTGTGTGGGGGGGTGCCTGCCTTCTTGCAGCGCCTGCCGGCCCGCCCTGACACACGCCCCCCCCTCACTGCTGCTGCTGCAGGGCCATGCTTGACCGAGTCCTGCATCTCGGTGACCAGCTCCATCCTGAGCTCGCTGAACCGGAACGTGGACCCCTGCGAGGACTTCTTCGCCTACGCCTGCGGGGGCTGGGTCCAGGCCAACCCCATCCCGGACGGCCACTCCCGCTGGGGCACCTTCAGCAAGCTGTGGGAGCACAACCAGGGCATCCTCAAGCACCTGCTAGGTAAGGCGGGGAGGGGGGGAGGAGGCAGGGGTTAGGGTTAGGGTACGGGGGGGACCACCCCCACCCACCACCCCCAGTACCCTCTGGCTGCACCTCTCCCTCAGGGCTGCCGGAGGACCGGCAGGAGGCTCGCCCGGTGGGTGTTCTCCCCCAGGGGTGGCCTTCTCCTTTCCCCGTTGGCATCACGTCCAATAAACCACCCTCGTCCTCAAATCCCGCACCCGGCTGCCGGTGAGATGGCCCGGCCACCTTGCGAACGCTGGCTTTCCCTTCTGGGTCTGCAGACAAAGGGACCTGCCCAGGGAACCCCGGATTGCTCTTCGTCCACCCTCTCCCACCGCCTTTACTCTTCTCAGCCTTGCGCCCGGTGCCGCTTTCTGTGGGCACTGCCCCTGCCCCATCCCCTGCCTGCAACAGGTTGGGTACTGGTTTGCTCTCCCGTTGGCCTTCCTCCCTGCCAGCCGAGGGGGAGCAGGCGGGGTCTCCATGGCTACGGGGAGGGGGGCCCTTTTGTTTGCCTTATCTGGCTTTTCCAAGCGATGTTTGGTCTTCCTGTATGTCTGCACAAGTCTCTCTCTCTGTTTCCTTTTCTTTCTCTCTTTTGTCTCAGTTTGGGACCCTTCCCCAAAGGACAGTCCAGTAGCTGCCTGGCAGAAAGCCTGAACGAGCCTCCGGTTCTGCCTCCCGGGCAGGAAGGAGTAAGAATTTGGTGGCACTGGGCATGCTTAGTCTTCACAAGACACTACTTTTTCCTCTTATACCTGCGAGTAAATCTTAGGGTTCCTCCTGAACATGCAGGTAGTGCCCTCTTGTTTCCCAGTCTGCATGATGGGACTTTCCATGCCCTCCTGTCTTTCTGTCTGTCTTTCTGTCTGTCTGTATCTCTGTGCTTGTCTGATTCAGGCCAAGGGGTTCTGCTCCAGGGTGACCAGCTGGGCTTTTATCCAGGGTGTCTGTGAATTTCGTTGTATGTGTATATACTTACAATGACAATAAATTATTATTATTATTATCCACTGTGGCTGAACTGCAAGGGTGCTTGTCCTCTTTGTAGGTCATATTTTGTTTATATTTCAGCGTTGTCATTCTGAGCTGCCCAAAGCACCCTTTGCAGAGGGAACGTGGGATTTACGCCTGGGAAGACCATACGCGGGAGAGGCAGTGTGGTGGAGTGGTTGTAGAGGGTCAGGGCGGGTTCAGATTCACGTCTCCACTGAGCCACGAAACCTCCTCTGTGACTTTGTTTTGCTCTTGTTTTATGTGAATGACGGCAGTGGCTCACTTCACATTAAAAACCAATCAGTCCAGTCCGTGGTGGCTGAGGGGCCCGGTTGCTTTTTTAAAAGGGACCTCCCGGAGAGACCGGGAACAGGCAGATGGTTTCTGGCTAGAGAAGCCGTGGCAGACTCTTCCCAACCCTTTCCTTGCAGAGAACACCACGGCCGTCATGTCGAGCGAGGCAGAGCGGAAAGCGCAGCACTATTACCAGTCCTGCATGAACGAGACCAAGATTGAGGAGCTGAAGGCCAAGCCCCTGACGGACCGGATCCAGAAGGTATGAGGCCTCCGCTGCTCGGAGCCGAGCCCTGTCGCTCTTGGCGCCACGGAGAGTGGGCAAAACGGGTTTTTTCTTCTTCTTCTTGAAAGGCTAAGAGGAAGCCGGTGTTTGGACTTGTGTGAATTTCCAAGCACTCTTGCTAGGAATGTCAAGAGTGCTTGCTAAGTTCTTCGTTCATGGCCTGAAAAATGAGAGCTGGAGAAGCAGCCCCCCCCCGGTCCTTTCTCCTGGCCCCTCTCCAAACACCCCCCCCAAGAGTCTCTGTAATTCGTGCAAAATGCAGCTGTGCAGTAACTCGCCTTTTGAGAACCAAGAGCCCTGAAAGGAGAGAAGGTGGTTTCTTGCAAAAGAGGACTCTGTTCTCCTGGGGAAAAAAAGCCCATGGATTCAGGGGGGGTTCTGCTGTCGTTTGCCCCCCCCCCTTGGACACGGTCTGCTTGTCTCCTGAGGTGACCAGTGGAGGGGTGTGTTTGTGTGGACTGGACTGATTGCTTTGTGCATGCGCCCGCTGATTTGTGTGGCTTTCCCCTCCTTCCTCTAGCTGGGTGGCTGGAACATCAGCGGCTCGTGGACCGAGAGGGACTTCAATGAGACGCTGCTGGAGGTCCACGCCCATCATCACATCGCCCCGTTCTTCTCCATCTATGTGGGCGCCAACTCCAAGAATTCCAGCAGCAACATCATCCAGTTGGGTGGAGGAGGCCCTCGC